ATATACAATTTATCTATATAATCTGTAAAACATTGTATTTTGAGTATCTATTATTTCTGTACATTTTTATGCCAAATGTTGTATATTCAATTAATATAATCTATAAAAGGGTATTAGAGATGATCATTAATTAATATAAATAAATTAATAAATAAATAATAGAATAGGTAACAATTGGAAAAATAAAAATAAGTGAGATATATTATAAATGAAAGATAAGATCCCGTATAGTTGGCATAAACGAAGAGAAAAGAAGCAATTGGTTGTTACGATGGTTGGTGCAGCATGAACATCGTAAGCGTGCGCGTTGAGTTGAGTTACGTTTGCTATGCATAGTTCGTGGAGGGAAGATGCCAGAGGGAGAAATGTATTAAAAGGGAGTAAGAGACCGGACCGCGACCGCAAACTGATTAAATGCGGTTTGCGGACTGCCAAGCAACGCGTCCGTCCTTCCACGCGCCGACTTCGACGAGATATGCCTGTTGAAATTTCTTTTTTTTTCCATGCGAATGTTTTCTTTCTTCTCCCCCACTTCGTTATTATTCCTCTCATTTTACTTTATTTTATTTTCGTCTCTTTTTTTCGAAATTTTTCGAACACTATATATATATATATATATATGAGTATAATGAAAAAAAAAAATTAAAACAAAAAAAAAATAGAAATAAAATAAAAACGTGCGACAATAAATAGATAAAATCAGGGAATTGCTCGTGTATAGGATTATGTAAGTTAAATTTATCTACCTAGGTATGAACCGATCACTGACAATCTCGATTTTGCAAGCGACTTTATTATCGGTCGCTTTGAATTTCTATCAAAGACGTTATCTCGGTATCGTTTAAATCCCAATGGAAGTGATTGGTTATCAATATATTACATATATATAAATCGATTTGTTGCAAAACAGATTTTGATGCAAGAAAAGAAAAAAATACGGAATTAGAAATAGAAACAACTGACCGATACTTTACGTGGTATGTAGATCGAACGAAGAGATCTCGAAAAAAGGATCTACCGAGTTTAAAAGAGACAGATCTATAATATGTTAGGGTGATCCTTCTTCCTGACGTGAAACTATTCGAACTGTCAACGTAGTCGTTGTAGTTGTCATTATCGTTGTCATGTGCGTATAAGTAAAACGCTGACGTTAGCTCGTTCGTTTTGTTTTATTCCTTGTCTATTTCTAATAGTTTTTCCTTTATTCGTGTATTATCTGAAGGATGAGATATTTCTCTTCTCTTCTTTTTGTTCTCTTTTGCTTTCTAACCATACATAACTTGGTGATTATTCTATCGATATTCCTTTATATCGAAATGAACTCGTACTATCGGTAAGCTTCGAGACGTCGATTGGACGACAAGAGGGAGAGAGAGAGAGAGAGAGAGAGAGATAGAGCGAATTGCTTTTAACGTCAGTAGAAAACGAATTTCTACGATATCTCCGGTCCACCGAGTTCCGTCAGATTATAACGGCAATTAGTAATTGCGCTTGCTCGAAAGAGAGATAACGAAAGAGACCATATATTCGTGGTATTAAATCGATCTACGAAGCGTTGAAAATACTCGTTTTCTTCTGTGTGTGTGTCTCTCTCTCTCTCTCTCTCGTTGTATCTTTCGAAAACGTGGGAAATATGTGATCTCGATGTTAACTCTAAAAATAACGATATATGTACAGAAAGAGAGAAAGAGCGGGTGATAAGGGGGGGAGGGCTAGGGGAGATGGTTCGTTGGTTATGGGAACGGGAGAGGGGAGGATTTACGGATTTCAACTCGTCTCATCGGTTATTCATCGTCGACAAAATACGTGGGTAGATCTTTGCGAACGATTCGTCATGCGAATGCTTTTCCTAAAGTTACATATAGAGATAGGAATGAAAACAAGAACGAACAACTATCGATCCACAGCTATAGACATTTTCTTTTCGTTTTATAAATGTGCTTCTCTTATTTTATCCGTCATCGATGATTATTTTATCTCGATGAGACGAATGAGAGAAAAATCGGGAGTAATTTTTCCAAATATCGATCTACCATCAAAGAACTATATTGTGTCTAGGATTTATTTTGAAAAAGAAAAAGAAAAAAACAAAAAACATAACCGAGAATAGTTTTGGTTTGTTGTACGTAGTCATCCCACTCCCTCTATGATTTATATACCCTCTTTCTTTTTCCGATTTACGATTTTCAGATAAATCGAAGATGTTTTAAGAAAAAAAAAATAAATAAAAAAATAAAAATCAAACGAATGGCGTTGGTTACTTGTCACTATAATTAACCCGCGTATCTTTGATTTTGAATAGATCTTGCGGTAGAAAACGAGAGACGACCCTTTTGCCGATTTCTCGACTTCTCTTTTTCATTCTGGAAACGGACCGAAAAATGTAACGATGTAAAACGCAAGGTGTAGGTAGCTCGACATTCGTGTCCCAGATCTTGGAAGATAGCGAAACGGTCGAAAACGGTCGATCAAACGTGCCGAACCTTTTTTTCTTTTCTCTCTCTCTCTCTCTCTCTCTCTCTTTCTTCCTGTATTTTTTCTTCTTTTTCTTCTTCTTCTTCTTCTTATTCTTCTAATGGAAAAACGCGAAAAATGGGAATTATGGCAATGCACGTAGAAGCAGTGATAACGCGAATCGGGATGAGAATCGATGGGCGTGTTTACTCGCGAGAAAAGTATACGATTGGAATTCAAGAAGAAATTTGCACGCCGTTTGTAAAAGGTTCGACGAGCCTTAAATCCCTATCCGGTAGGGCCCGGTGCCAAGAAGAGCCTAAATCCTGCGCGTTAGGTGCCAAATTCAGTGTCTTTCTTTTTCTCATTTCCTTTGATACACTAGCGCACCAGTAGAATCCCATTCCAAGAGGTAGTACGATCACCGAGATTTGGCGACAAGATGCCGGAATTTTAACGAAAGCCTCGGGAACGAAAGGGAATGCGAGAAGTAGGACCGGTTTTTCTTGATAACACTGGGACCCCATTGTTATCGCTTGTTCATCGCTCGTTCGCGTTGGAAGAACTAATTAAGAGACCCTAATTAATAAGCCTACACTTTTAATCTTTGATTTTTCGAAAAAATCTTTATCTTTCAATTTCTTCAAATACCTGGGCTCATGTGTTTTTTCTTCCTTTTTTTTTCTTTTTTTTTTTTTTTTTAACCAAATCCGCATTGTTTAGAAAATATGTTGCATCAAGATAAAAGAATTATTTATAAATAACTCATATTACGAGATATAAAATTATATATATATATAGAAAAAAAGGAAAGCAAAAGAAAATTGCAGAGACGTTTGAAATATTCGAAAATTGTAAAGAATGTAATGACGTTCGTTAACAACGATCAATCTTTCTTACGTTTCCCATCTTATTTATGTTTCTGTTTTATTTATAGAAATTCGTGCGCAACGCAATGCGTGTCTACGTAGTTTATTGTTGCATGCCGAGCAAAAAAATCTAAACTCGGCGGAATAATTTAGTGGGAAGCACGCTTGTTGTCGCGAGTAATAATATAATCGAACCGGCCCCGCGGGCGACTCGATTGATAATTAATTATCTCGTTGTTGGGCAGAACAGCAGACATTAAACGAATATCCCACCGTCATCAAAGTTTCGTCAACAGTGTCTCGTATTCGTTCAAACGAGATGTATCTCGTTCTAAACTTACTTTCAAATTATAAGTATATACCTTCAGAATATTCCGACTTTATAAAATAATTTTTGGTTGTCTTTTTTTTTTTTCTTTTTTTCGTTTCTTCATAAATTTGGTGAAAGTATTGAGGATCAAAATTGAATTGAAAAATAAGCAAGTTCGTTCTTTCGATCATTTTTGTTTCGTCTTTTTTTTTTTTTCTTTCGAACTCACTAAGAATATTACAGATTTTTATCGTTGACGATCGAAACGAATATCGAGAAGATCGACGATATGGTGGTAATTTTTAATTACGATAAAACGATGATCGAGTCTGTGAGAAAGGATCAGGGTCGGATTTACCGTTGGAGATATGGTCCTTTACTGCTTGAACGATGTACATAATATTGACGTTCATTGAAATACATTAATAATAAAACGTTCGTGCCGTTGACTCTCACGGCAAAACAAACCTTGCCTCAACTTGGAGTTGCGCAATTGAAGTCGTCGTGTTCGTTGGCTCGTCATCTCGAATTGCTATCGAGAGTCCAACGCCAAAGGCATATTCTCTTCTTCTGCTTCTTCTTCTTCTTTCCGTCTACATCGAAATTGAAATAATAATAATAATAATAATAACAATTAAAAAAATAAATAAATAAATAATCAAATGTAAAGAGTCAGCAAGCGAAAGGCATAATATGACGTTATTACTCTTTTTCAAAATTAACGATCGAGTGACATTCGAGAGTAGAATAACGACGGCGTCGAAGTGTGACAATGAGAGTATACAATCGAGTGAAAGTGTGTATCGAGTTGCATTAGGATGTAAAAATTAAATACATACATGCATATATACGCTTGTTCGAGATCACGCCAATGGTATCACTCGATATATTTCTCTATTAATAAACAATTTTCTTTTTATTTATTTTTCTTCTTCATTTAACGAGAAAAGAAAGAAAACAAAACAAAAATGATACATAGTGATTATCACATTGAAAACTCATCATTACGATTATTAATCTAGGAACAATTTATCTATGTCAAGTGTAGATAAAAATCAATAAATAAATAAATAAATAAATAAATAAATAAATAAATAAACGAATAAATAAATAAGTAAATAAGAGTTTAAAAAAAGAGAAGAGAGAAAAGGAGCAAAAAGTAGGGTTGAGTATGGTGAGTGGCGGGGGCGTCTTAGTAAGAGTGGTAGGGATTACGGAGTAAGAGAGTGGGGTGGGGAAGAAACGGGCGAATGGAGGGGCAGCCGCGTGCACGATACGAGTGGAGGGGTGGTAAGAGAGGGGTGGGGGTAGGGTCTAGGCGAGCAGCGGCAGCAACAGGGCAACGGCGGCGGCCAGGTAAGCGAGAAGCGAATAACACGCTAGTAGGGCTGACTCGCGCCGCTCAGAGTCTCACGGCCCAAAGCCGATACCGTAGTTTATTCTTATTCTTCTTCTTCATCGTCACCGTCATCGGAACAACGCGTCGTCGTCGTTGTAGTAGTCGTAGTCGTCGTCGTCGTGCGGTGATCGATACGATATTATAACGATCGCTCTTTTAGTGATCATCAGCAGCCCTTACACGCCGAGAAGGATACGAATTTGTACGAGACGCCAACGAAAAGTGTTGTTTTACTGCAAAATATTTTTTTTCTTGGTTTACTTTTTACGAATTTTTTATTCACTTTGGTTCGTCGTTGTTTTGTTTTGGTTTTTTTTTTTTCGTCTTTTTTTCTTTCATATATATATCTTACAAGAGAGATTATCAACGACGACACATTGGATATAACATTTCGTTGATTGATAATTCGTCGCGTACGAGTAATTTGTTGTGTGTTTGTTTCTTTTTTTCTCTTTCAAATTTGTGATTTTCATTTTTTTTCTACTTTTTGTTTTTGTTGTTTGTCACCTGTCCCAACGATCTTTTTACGATCACCTCGCTCGTGTAGTGGAAGAATAAGTTTTCGATGGCTCTTTGCCGAGGGTCGAGATGTTTCCACCCTGAAAGAAGACGACAACCCTCGGAGAGGATAAGCATCCGAGTCAAGAGCCAAACTGGAATTTAGTGTTGATACTTTGGTGATTTGCGAGGTGCTGCGTAATAGTTCGAGTCAAAAATAAAGAAGATAATAAAAAACATTCTTTCAGAGTGATTACGGATATAAAAAAAAAAAAAAAGAGAGAAAAAGAAATAAAGAAAGAAAGAGAGAGCTAGAAAAGAAGAGAGAAAGTGGATCGGATAATTGTGAAAACAAGTGGAAAATTTGTTAATAAGTGTGTGAAAAAGATAGGAAGTAGTGAAAGAGAGAAAGAAAGAGAGTATAGTGAGGATAATAAAAGTGTAAAAGATAACAGGAGAAAAGGAAGTAGCGGAAAACGCGTGGTTAGATGCGTGGAATTTGAAAACAGCAACCCACAGGCCAGCCCGACGCAATGCGTCGACGCTGCTGACGCAACGCGCCTGGATGCGTCTCACTCTGAGCACGTGAGTGTGTTTTCTAGCAAAAAACGAAACGAAAAAAAAAACAGTAGTTAGAAAAAGATAGAAAGAGAAAGAGAGAGAAAGGAAAAAATAGAAATAGAGATAGATATAGAAAGAGAGAGAGAGCAAAAGGGAAACAGTGAGAGTGAAAGTTCGAACCGGTCGAGTGTAAAACACCCCCTATTGGAAAAGGGGGAGAATCGTTAAGGTGTTGTATCATATTAATTAATTATTATTATTATTATCGTCATCATTTCGTGAATTGAAATCGATTCGGTTAGAATGATTCCCCGAGGATCGAAAAATCGGACGATCTCTAAATCGTCGCCCCCACGTTACTCGGACACTTGATGACACTTTTCCTTAATTATTTCGAAAGAAGAAAATTAAGGAATAAGAGATGCTCGGGTCGAGTCATCTCTATTTATTTATCGCATGTTACTCGTCGGTGATGATGACGATGATGATGATGATGATGATGATCGTAGTGGCGAGCACACGCTCGTGTTGGTAGTGGTAGTAGTGGTAGTGCTGGTAGTAGTAGTAGTTGTAGTAGTGGTGGTGTTGGTGTTGCCGGTCGGTGGTGGGTCGCGAGTGCGCACGCGACTCCGCAACTTGGTGAATGATCCTGGGAGTCCCGGTTAAACGAAGCTTCGAGGTACACGATCACTGGGATGACGTCCGCTTCGGATCACGCGCTCCCTTCACGATCGTCCTCGTCTAACGCGCTACCAAATGTAAGTTTTACGGTTAACCCACACCACCTAACTTTTACGATCAAGTAATAATCGTCAATCGATAAATAATCGATATTACTATTCTAACAACTTCAAAATCGTTAGCGAAAGAAAAGGAGAGAAAGAGAGTGAAAGATAAAAATTACAAAAAGCTTGACTTTCGACGCTTGCATAACGGTAGTAGTATACCTACGGTGCGTACAGTGGTTCTCATTCTCGTTGTATTCGTTTTCGATGACCCTTCTTCTATCTCTACTGATCGTACTTCATCAAAAAGGGGAGATTCTTCTTAGGGATGAAAAAAAAACCATCGGACAGGCTGTCCTAATTCGAAAGTTAGAAGGGCTGCAAAAGATTTAATGCACGATTTTTCTACGTACCGTATTTTAATAGTGCGGCGAACCGAAAGCACTATCTCTTCTCACCCTTATTCCTCATTCTTCATCGGCTCGTATTCATCCGGAGGCAGCCCTATCGTCGAGAGAGCGTACCCTCGACCGTAAGGTACGATGAGTTTCACTTACCAGCCCCGTTGAGGCTTCCCTTACCCCTTGTAAGAACATCTTTCTCTTTCTATCGGTTTCTTTTTCTTTCGCATGGGAAACGTCGTCGTTGCTTCCATCGATCAGGATTATCGTCTCTTCGTAATCTATCCTTGTTCTTTCTTTTTCTACTGAGAAAAAAGTAAAGAAACAAAATGGAAAGATTATTTTATAACAACATAAACAACGTTGAACAAATAACGTAACACTTATGTATAATATTGAAAAATAAAAATATTAAACGATGATACAAGAATTTGTTTAAAAAAAGTTTCATTGAAAATTGAACGATAGGAAAATTTGAAGGAGGTATAGTCAATGATACGACCTAGAAACTCCTGATAGACTATTTCGAGAGTCGAAGATAGAACGTCACGATTTATCAATGATTTATCTATCGGGCACGTGCACAAGCCAAGAAAGCGCCCGGCGCTCTTATTCTCTTTTGTATTGAAGGAAGAGGAGGAGGAGAAGGTGGTGGTAGTGGTGGTTGTGGTTGTGGTTGTAGTGGTGGTGGTGTAGGTTGTGGTGGTGGTGGTGAAGAAGAAGAAGAATCGACTTTACTCTATACCGATCAGTATAACGTTAGGTGCTGCCGGCGTTCGAGTTCGAGTAAACACTCGATCAAAGAAGAATTTGCTCGATTATCGGCTGGCGGTTGGATGATTGTCGGTTAGAAAAATCAGACGATACGTTGCCGATAAGGTGGCATATTTTAGATAAGCGAAACGCGCAATTAAAATGCCTTATGGATGAGTACCGATTGATTAGGCAAGCTCTCTTTCTCTCTCTACCAATTGATTTTCAGATTCTTCTTTTCTTTGTGTTTTTTTATTTTATTTCACAAAATCTTTTTCCTTTATTCTTAATTCCATTCGAATATTTTCCTTCTTCAATCACATTGCTTCGTTGTTTACGTACTCTTACCAAGTTATAACGATATATGATTAAAATACTTATTATTATTATTATTATATTTTATTATGGACTAAGAAATAAATTTGTAAATTATTTATCCATTTTTTCAATGATACTAAAGAACATGGACATAATTTATTCTTATATTTCTATCTTCTCATTGGACTATAGTCAAGTAGGTTTTCAGAAAATTCGTGATCTATGTACAAGCGACTTTGATCTATGCGATTTAACCATCGTTAATGGAAATCATGACGTGCATTCTTAAAAAAAATAAGATATATGTATATCGATTTGAATTGCACCTGAATTATCCCCATACGAACATTATAACGACAACAACGATAAAAACGATGACGTATGCATATATATATATGAGAAACCTTTCACGAGTCGCTGCCTTTAAAAAGCATATTTTCCGTTTTAACGGCCGGTCGGCTCTTATCTCTGGGCGTAAAGCGTGTTTACCGCCAAACAAACGGCACGCGCGTGCTTCTCGTCATCGACGTATGTCGTCGTTCTCGTCATCATCGATGGGAAGCTAACTCGATCGAGTTGTTAATTTCCGGTTGTTAACGTTAAAAGAAAAAACAGTACGTTCATAGGATTCGAGAAAAACCGATGAATCTCGACGAATCACCTAACCAGAATCTTTTATTCGGGTCAACGATGTTTACGACCTGACGTTTGTAAGACAAAGATGAAGAAAAGAAGAAAATGTAGAAGAAGAAGGAGAAGAATAAGAGGAAGATGAAGTAAAAATAAAAAATTAAAAATATAAAAAAAAAAAAAGAAGAAGAAAAAAGCAAGTTTTCCTTGTTACGACCTCGATGACGAAGATAGCAGGTGGGAGTACGTTGAGAGCGTGACGATCTCTCTCTTTCTCTCTTTTTCCTACTGTTCTCTCCTCTCTTATTCACTCATTCACTCACTCGTTCTCGACCTACGCCATGGACTGGCAAACATTGTAAATCGCGCACGGTACGTGTGCTAATATGAATAACGAGCGAACAGAGGAAAGATTTTAGCGTGCACCCCGCCCCTACTCGATTCTCATCGATTTTACTCGATTCTCTGCACTTTGTTCGAGAGGTAAAAACACGTTGAGAGGACACCCAACAACTGTTCGATTCTTTTATAATCATTTAATCAGTATTTTTTTTCTTCGAATACAGGGATGAAGAGAAAAAAAAAAAAGAAAGAGAAAAAGAGAGAAGATCTTGATTGTCTCCTTGTGATGCATCAACTTTTATGATCTTGCAAATCTTTTTCCGTCTGTTTTCATCATTTTTCTTAATAATCGTCTTTATGGTCGCGTTAATCGTTCCTCCTGTTGTCGGAAGCACACGCGAAACGTTGTTTTCACGGAAATTTAATATCCTTTGCACGAACGTCAAGCGCGTGACGACTTATGGTTAATTCATATTTGCCAGTTTTTAATCTCAAGAATATCTTTCTATGAATCGTCTGTCTATTTCTACGTTACTACTCTATTACTGCTGCTGCTGCTGCTGCTACTACTACTTATTGTCTGACGCAAGAACACTCGACACGCGCAATACACTTTTTTTTCTGTTATTTTTCTTTTTTTTTTTATTACGTCAATTTTCTTCTTTTTTTTTTCAATATTTATTTACATTTTTTCACTGAAAAGATCTCTCTCTTTCTCTTTAGTCGACGAGAATAGAGTTTTTTTAAAGTGGATGGAACGCGATTAGAGGAATCGATCAGAACGACGTTCGGCGAAATGTTAAAAGCATCGTTTTACGAAATTTCAACGTTCTCTCTTTTTCTCGAATAATATTTTACCGTTATAAGCGAAGAGTGAACATCGATCGATGCAATTCTAATAAACAAGATCAAGTTTATTTAACAAAGTTATTCGTTAGTTCTTGGTCTAATCATCGATCCATCCTATTCGATCTTATCGAAATATTTTTCTAAAAATGATATTACTTGGAGAATAATAATAGTAATAAAATATTTATAAATGTGAAATTATTTCTAGAGAGTCAACTTACGACCTTACGATCTGATTAATTCATAATTCATTTAAAAGCCACTTAACCCGATGCCCGTTACGAAGTAAAAGAGAGAGAGAGAGAGAGAGTTAGTAACTTTACGTTGGCTCTCGTTCAGAGTCAGAAGCGTTCGGACAAAGTATTCGACCCTTTTCGGTCCCTAATAGAAGATCCATTACCTTTATCGTCGTCCTTGTCTACGAGTTGCCGGGTCAAGCACTTTGTCGCGTCTCGTTCAACCGAGAAAGTTAGGAGAGTAAAGTCCTGATTTCCCTGGGGCTCTCGGTACCGACGATTCTCCTCTCTATCGGTAATTTGGTCAATTACAAGGTTCGATAACGTGCTAAGTAAAGGTACTCGTTTACGAGGAAAGGTGTTTTTTCTTGGTACCTCTTCGGCAGGTGTATATTATATTTGTGTAACCTCTTTTATCTTTTTTTTTTCTCTTAAAGTCACTTAAGATTCGATCTTTTAAGAAAAAAAAAAAACTTTTATCTTTCGGTCAATAATTTAAGATTCAAAAAAACATTCAAGAGAAGCAACGATGGAAAACTTGTTGATTACAACGTTCTCTTAAGAAATGTCCATAAAAATAAAATGATCGAATAAAATCTAATGAAAGATAATACACCGCGATTTGTGGAATATAAATTCCATACGTTATTGCGGCATTCCAAAAAGACTCTCGCTTTTGTTTGCTACGATCGGTCACGACAACGACTTTAAACGTCATAGAAAATTCTTCCTAACCATGCCGAGTAAGAATAAAAAAAGAAAAGAAAAGA